CTTCTATAGCGCTCCCTGGTGGCCTCTACTGTGAAAAACACTGACTTAGTGTTTTATTAGTTGCATTAACTTGTTTTATTGGATCCTTTCATGCTTATGTTAGTATTTATTTATTTATTTCTTCGTGAGAAGCACTTTGTGTTGTCTATCTGTGAAGTAAAGTAAGTAAAGTTTACTTACTTTACATTTGGGACTATTTTTCAAGTGGTTGGGATTTAAGGTATAGGCGTCCACATGTAATAAAGAATAAATCCCACTGGTCAGATTGCTTGTTACAAAGAATAAACGAATAAAAAAAAGCAGCAGAAATGTGTTAAGCAGCTCAGTATTCTATCTTCACATGATTTTTTTCTTCTTTTTTTCCCACTTGAATAAAAGCTTAATGTTAAATTTGAACAAAAAGTCACCTGACATAGATTTGAACTCAGTCCTTTAGTGGTTGTCCAGTTTTTTTTTTTTTTTAATCTTTCTCCGTTTTGTTCTGGTTCCCACATTCAGACATGAAATCATCACATCTGTTTGGATTGCTTTAGCTTTGATCGTCTTTATTTAATAAAATGCAGAGTTCTTCCAGGGTTTAAATATAAACTGTGTGAAATGTTGAAATTTTCATGCTGTGCTTTTGGAACGTGTGGATCAGTTTTGATGTTTTTTTTTTAATGTCTGTCTGATTTCTTTGTTTTCTTGTAGGTCAGAAACAAAACTGGCCTTTTTTTTCTCACACCAACTCACATGTTAATGTGCTGGATTGGTTTACATTTCATTTAAAATGGATTAAAAAGCATTTACGCTTTTTTTAAATTTACTGTTTAAAGTTTGAACATGTTAAACAAAATATTTGCTCTTAGAGCACTGTTGTATTTTCATCCTTTTCATTTATCGCATCTTTATGTTGATTCTTTACAGTAAAAATGAATGTAGACATAAATAATTTTATGTAKACGCTGGTGAACGTGTTAAAAAGCTCATTACAAAGCATAAAAACGTTGCTTTTATTACATTTAAATTTATTTTGTGTTTTATAAAGAAGAAATTATAAACAAGTGCAGTAAGTTTCTCCACCTGAGGAGCTGATTTGACTCTTCACAGGTCAGTTTATTTAAGCGAAGAGCTCCCTCTAGTGGTCAACAACGCGTCATTGAAATGAGTGAAACTTTGAACAAGATTTAAAAACCCACAAAGAAACAAAGTGCTGCCAAACTAAATTGATGTCTGTCTGTTTATCTAATTTCAGGACATAAACGTGTGCATTCTAGAGAATTACCCAGAGTGCTCCAACCCTCGCGTTTTCTACATAATTCCCTACTTCTGTGGACAACACCCTCAGTGCAGGTAGGTTCRTGGCTGTTTCAAATTAAAGTCACTTGTTTCTCTTAGGGAAAGCTCAAAGTTGTTGTTTCTCTCAGAGAGCCCGGTGTTTGGGCGTTGGAGAGGGCCAAACAGAACGTGGTGGAGAACTACCTTCTTGTTGGCGTCCTGGAGGAGCTGGAAGATGTTCTGCTCATGTTGGAGAGGCTTTTACCTCATTACTTCTCTGGAGTCCTCGACATCTATAAGAGCCCAGGTTGGTCCACACTGCCTTTAAAGGGAAAAAATATATTTCAGTGGATTATTCTTTAGAATACACTAGAAAATGAGATCTAGATCAGGGATGCAAACTAAAACTAAACATTTACTTTAGCAAGCTAAGGTGCAAAAGTCGCTGTTGTTTATGTGTTTTTAACTTCACTCATATTTAGCTTTGTGCAACATGTAGTGGCGAGTGGCCAGTCTGCTGACATAGGAATAAAAAATGTTCTCATGGCCACGCATTATATATCACGTGTCCATGCGTTATCTTCTTGTGGCCAGGCATTATTTATCTTGTGGCCATCTCATARCCACACATTATCTCACGGTCATACATTATTAACTTGTAGCCACACGTTATCTCGTGGCCATACATTATTATCTCTAACCCATGTGTTATTTATCTTGTGGTCATATGTTATTATCTCATAACAACACATTATCTCGTGGNTATGTTATTATCTCATAACAACACATTATCTCGTGGCCATACATTATTATCTCTAACCCATGTGTTATTTATCTTGTGGTCATATGTTATTATCTTATAGCCACACATTATCTCATGGTCATACATTATTGTAGCCACACATTATTTATCTCATGGCCATGTATTATTATCTCTCAGCCACACATTATTTATCTTGTGGTCATATGTTATTATCTCATATAGCCACACATCTCACGGTCATACATTACTTGTAGCCACGCGTTATCTCGTGGCCATACTTTATTATCTCTAACCCAAATGTTATTTAACTTGTGGTCATATGTTATTATTTCATAACCACACATTATCTCATGGTCATACATTATTAACTTGTAGCCACGCGTTATTTATCTTATGGCCATGCATTATTATCTCTAAGCCATTAGTTATTTATCTTGTGGTCATATGTTGTTATCTCATAACCACACATTATCTCATGGTCATACATTATTAACTTGTAGCCACGCGTTATTTATCTTATGGCCATGCATTATTATTTCTAAGCCATTAGTTATTTATCTTGTGGTCATATGTTGTTATCTCATAACCTCACATTATCTCATGGTCATACATTATTAACTTGTAGCCACGCGTTATTTATCTTATGGCCATGCATTATTATCTCTAAGCCATTTGTTATTTATCTTGTGGTCATATGTTATTATCTCATAACCACACATTATCACATGGTCATACATTATTATCTCTAATCCATTAGTTATTTATCTTGTGATCATATGTTATTATCTCATAACCACACATTATCTCATGGTCATACATTTTTATCTCGTAGCCACACATTATTTATCTTGTGGTCATATGTTATTATCTCATAGCCACACATTATCTCACGGTCATACATTATTAAATTATAGCCAAGCGTTATCTTGTGGCCATGCATAATTATTTCTAAGCCATATGTTATTTACAGGTGCTGGTCATAAAATTAGAATAT